TAGGGAACAAACATCTTCAGGCTTCAGAGGGGACCAGGAAGAGAGATGTGCATATCTAGAGGGGACTGCTCAGAGTTCCTTGTAGCTGAGGAAGCCATTAAGTGCTGACAGGCTAAGATTTAGCAAAGCTGAAAGAAGTGTCTGCCCAACAAGGACAAAGTCAGCAGTGGCAAGGACAAAGTGAGCAGTAGAGATTGATTTTTCAAGTCTTTTTTTTTTTTTTTTTTCCTAACTTTAACCTGTTTTTGGTTAAGTATGTTTTATTAATACTTAAGATTTTAAAATCCCTTTTGCTGTCTTCAGTGTACGTGTCTTAAAGGAAAAGTACAGGCCAGGCCACCTCAAAGCTCTAGCCATCTTGAGGTCTCATCACTTGGCTACCTGAACTTTGATTTATGTGAAGATTTCTTATTTATCATGGTACTATTGAGTTACTTATCTATGTCTGCAGTAGGGAATAACTTCAGTGATATACTGTCATTTAATTCCTGAAGTGTTGAGGTGTGATACATTTGTTGTGGAAAATACACGACATGATTGTTGGCTGAGTAATTTATGACATTAAACTGTAAGTTTTTCCTCGGCTAGAAACATATTTGTGTTTCATTCATTCTGTGTTTGAGTGAAATCGGATTCTAGGATGATCTTGAGGTAAGAAGTATTTCTAATAGAATTCAAGGTTTAGTGCATTGGAGAGCACTTCCTTTACTAGACCATAATTCAGCGGATGGTATTGTTGTCTTGGGATAATGTTTTAGCAATGTCAGGGAAAAAGAGGCAGTGGGAATCCAGCTCTCGAATCACTAGCAGCATTTAATAGTCATACCTGCATGTTCTAGGAACAGGGACCATCGCTCATGAAATTAGTTGCCCAAATGAAGCAGTTAATGGATGAGATGTTGACTTAAGGATGGCTGGGCTCTTTTTGGTCATCAGCGAAAAGGCTTTCCTTGGGAAGAGCACTACCATCAGGATAATAATTTGAATCTATTTAGCAAGTATAGGATGAAATCAAGCTTCTAAGTTCTATTCATCCCTTTTTTATTTCTCCTGTGGTTTTCCTCCTTTCTGCTGCTCCTCACATTTTCTCACAAAGAAAAGTTTCCAGTCTTTTATTTGCACCAAAGAGTCTTGATGATACAGACCGACTGCCAGGCATTTGTTATCAGATGTCATACAACAAGTAGCAAATGAAAATTTTAAGCAAATAAAGACAGAGTTTAGTTGATCTTAAAATTAATTCATCATTGGTTTGTGGATGTGCATCTACCCTGTTACCCATCCCTATGAAATCATTGTAATGTTAACCATGAGGAAGGGTGAATAGCAAATTTTTGATAGTAGTATTAAACAAAGTTCAGCTTTAATTTTAAATTGACTTTTGCTGGATCCTGGCTAGAGATTTTTATGGTAATTGAACTATTGTTGTACAACAAACAGTTGTGAAGGACTAAGGAACGTTAGAGAGTTCTCCAGAAGTAGGTAAAAGCAGCTGGTTTTAAAACTTAAATTAAATTTATGGAGTGTTTGTATTAAGAAATTATCTGTTTCCCAGAGTATCATAGCAAGGAAAATAGTAGTCAAATGTTATGGATTCCAAATTAGATGCTAAGCAAAGCAGAGGAAACAAAATACTGACAGAAATTTACTGTACTTGTCTGGTGTCCTGCTGAGTACATCTTAATGTCTGATAGATGCAGGCATCCAGGTATGCAGACAGTGATCTGGGACGTTACGTAACAAGAGCTAATGCACAGCAGAGTTACGTTAAAGGAAGTTGGGAAATACTATAGAACATTGAACAACTCTGTTACTTTTTTTTTTTATTGCTCTGCTTTTAGCAATTTATTTGTATGAGAAATAATACTGAAAAATTATGTAATACCTTTATCTCAGTAAGTTTATAATGGGACTGTTCTAGTGACCACCTAGTCAGCCTTTTTTCCCCAGATATCAAGGGTAAAGGTCTTCTTTGAGACTCACTGACATTTCCTTGCCTGCTATTTATTTCTTATGTCAAAAATTGCCTGCAAAGAAAAAGGGGGAAAATGCTACTGTAAAGTGTTTTGAAGACTATTATTATGTCCCCTTTTAGGCTTGCTTCCCCCCCGCCCAAGGTTAAACAAGGTTGTTAGATTGCTGTCCTCTGGAATCCCTCCAACTTGTTTCTTGAAGCCTAGAGCTGAGCACAGTGCTGCTACGGAGCCTGTGCCCCTGCTGCAGAGAAGGGGACAGCATCCTCCTCCCAACACTGCCTTGTCATTAGTGTCATGGGTGGGTCAGAGACAAAAGCAGTAGTACAAATGAGAATGGTATTGATTAGAGTGCTTGACTCAATTTCAGACAGGCTCATCTACCTAGTTTTGTTTTCATATATTGGCTTGAGGGACATGTATAGATCCTGTTGTCTTTGGCTTTTTACAAGTTTGTGTTAACAAATGCATGAAATCCTAAATCTGAAATTAATGTACCTCTTGGAGCTTAAAGTAAAACAGGTAAGATGCTCCTGAGAAAGAAGCTAACCAAAAAATACATAATTTTTTCTTGACAAAAATACTGTGCCACCTTTTTCTTGAAAGTTTGGGGTTTTTTCAGAATAATAGCCTTTGTGCCAGGGTTTACTTTCTGCCATCTCCATTAAAAATTGGTCTGGTTGGGGCCAAATTCAGCTTATATGAAGTACAAGTTCATGTTGAGGTAACATTATAAAGTAATTCGTGGCTGCTGTGGAGAAGGTAGGCATGGACACGTAACAACGCCGCTCGCTGCTTTCCTCATGGTATTGGGAAAGACAAAACCACAGTATTGACATACAGAAGGGACAAGATCTGCTGCAGGTGTCATGGGTTAAAGTGGAAGAATAGCAGCAGCACACAGGAACTGCTTGCTTAGGAGACAGGAAAGAAATACAAAATAGATTGTCCTGAAGGGCTGCAGGAGACATCACATGTCCTGGACTCTGAGACAGATTTCTTCTGTCCGAGTCTGGGCAGGATGTGCCATTCAAGTAGAGCTCTAATCTAAGAGTTCTGAATCAGCTGACAAAAATATGTGCATCTTGAAAAACAAAAGATTGGGTAGAAGAATCTTTCCTCTAAAATCCTGAGAATGTTAAATGCAAAATGCTTATTTTAGAAGGCCAATAATAGTGAGGTTTTCTCTTGCACTGATTCCTTTGAAGGAAGTCAGAGCAGGTGTGTTTACAAATTATCATTCTGGGTTGTTCACAGAAGTATGAATTTGTGGGGTTTGGGGGGATTAAGTTCAGAATGTCTATATATCCACAGCTAAGAAACAAAAGTGACAGATTCATAACTGAGAATTGTCTACTTCCAGTGAACAAAGACAAAACCACAAATGAATAGCACAGGTACTGGAGATGAGTGTTGGCATCAGGACAACTGTCAGTGTTGGTGCTGTGTCATTTTTATATTTGGCGGTTAGACAAGTTGTGTTGACTTCATGTCATGTAGTTACATTCCAGAAACAATTTGATCATGGTGCATATTGGGATTGAGGTGTGTAGTTGTAGCTCTCTGGCTCACTCAGTTCCTCTCTGGCCAGTAGCTGCTTCTCAGCCCGTGCTGAAAGGGCATCTGAAATAAATGAAACTATAATTAGTGGTTACTCTTTTGAATTTTTTGTTGTTTCAGGATATTAATTTCTGCTCTTAGTTCTGTGATCATACTTGTTGGTCAGTCAGCATAATAGATGAATATATGGGACTACTCTGGCTGCTGAGAACACATCTGTATTGCTGGCACCTTTGCTGACAATTTCTTTGATACTGCATGTACCACAGCTTAGTCTCTGGAAACAATCTTTCATTAGGTGAAAGGAGGATTGGCCCAGCTACTACATTCCTCCTTGCATGTGGCCTCTCCTTAACAATTTAACAGAAGACTTTGACACCCCGGAAAGCAGACCCCTGTCATCTTTTTCAACTTGGACTTGTTCTGTGTATTTCCTTTTCATAGGTTTGTTCCTATTAATTTTTTTAACACCACTGTTACAAAGAACAGAAAATGTCCAAATGACAAGAAACATAAACTAATTCATTGTCTTAGATTTATATGGAGAAGGAAGAGTCGAATAAAATCGGATGTGATGCATAAGGTCTTTTCCACTAATACTTTCCATTAACACTTCACTCCATAGTAGGTCGTCTTGTCCTAGTTTATTTCTGTAGAGTGCCAGTATGAATATTTCAGGCAAGAATTTGATTTTGTTTAATTTAATGATTCTAATCGGCTTTAACAAAACCAAAACAGACACACGCACACTCACCCTGACAACATAAAAGCCTACAAAACTGCAGGTACAGTATACAGTAGAAGAAAGTTCTTTCTGATCTTCCTTAGCTATGGATACTTGACTTGGCAGTCTTGTAAACGGCAGTCTAATCTAGGAAGAATCTGGGGATCAACCTATACCAGAAGGGAAAAAAACCCACAAACCTCTATGGAATAAAAGTATGTACAAAGGGAGTTAGTGCAGAAGAAGTTGCTGTGTTTTCAATTTTCACCCTTCACTTCTGTTACACCAACTTCCTGCTGTAGTCAGGTTTAAGGGAAGGATAATTTTTTAAGAATTAAACTCAATTTTCAGAGGGGAATGGGATTTAACAGTACAACTATCATTACAGTTTGTGAGCTGCATGTAAAGATGTTGAGAGTTTTATGGCTTACATTTTTAATGCAGCTGTGTTTAAAATAAATGTCTTTTTTATATTCTGCTACAACATCAGTTTTATATCATGTGGAACTAAGCTATTTTACCTTCTATTTAGGCATATTCGTAGGTATCATTAAATAACATTTTAAGCCATATCATGTGACAAACTGTCAGCTAAATGCATTGTTGGTTATACAGCTGCTTCCTCAATCTGCTTTCTGGAAAAGGGGACTATTTCTTGTCATATGAACCTATGGATACAGCTAGTTTATGCATTGTCTCTGCCCCTTTTTCACCCATATTTTCATCCTTACTTTCTCCAACAGAAAGGAGAGCCAAACTGCAGTATTCTTTCTCCAGAAACCACAGAGCAGCTGACCTTTGAGATTCCTCTGAATGATTCTGGCTCTGCTGGACTTGGTGTGAGCCTAAAAGGCAACAAATCTCGGGAGACTGGAGCTGATCTTGGGATTTTCATTAAATCCGTTATTCACGGAGGTGCTGCTTTTAAGGTATGGAAGAAACACATCAGACAGTGGCTGCATCAGAATTCTAACGTTTCTGTGTTGAGTACTGAATCTCACTTGATAAGCACTCTAGAAATAAATACCTTTCTCACTCATTCCTTGAGATGAACTGCAAATCTACAAATGTTTTGTCCCTGGTGTTGTGTGTGGTAGGGTTTGCCACAAGGAAAGTGAACTGGTGGAAACCTTGAGGGGCAGTTGGATGCTGCACAAGATGGGGAAGGGCGAGAAGGATATGGGTGCGTACCAGGACAGTGGGCAGAAGGAGAAGGCTGCCCCCCAACTTCCCCGCAGCCAACAGAAGTGCATGGGAAAGTTTGTGTGCTGCTAGGCTCAGTGACAGAAAAGTTGGATGTCTACATTCATTGTCTACCTGCACTGCCTTTGGTTCTCCCAACCTGATAGAGGCAGACCTATAAAAAACAATCAGAAGACAAACTTCTTAACAGAAATTAGAAGTTGACAGATCTGTAAGGTTAAGGATTATGTGTTTAATTTACGCTGTAAATAAAAATATAGCTCATCATTTTCTTTTTTTATTCAAAATTATTTTTACCACTGTAGTAAAAATGTGACTTGGTGGAGCCTGACATCAATTGTGCGGAAGTTACTGATTGTTCTTGAGGTGGATGGAATTGGTAATATTAAATTGGTAAATGACAGTGTTATGAATTGTTCTGCTCCCTCTAAGGACTATACAAGGACTGTTGTACATTTTTATGATTAAAAAGTGTTTGAATTATTTTCTAATCTTTAGGAAATCTGTTTACTGCATTTTTTCCCAAATAAAACTTGAAAAAAAATTTATTGAAATTAGTAAAAATCTTTCAGGGCTAGTATGTTTAACTCTTGTGGATCCATAATGTAAATCTTTTCTTTTGCGTTCTCTCAGCAATTCCTTTCAGTTCTCTTTTCTGTAAAAATACCTTTTAATTCAGTGTATGTAAATTCCTCTACTGACAGCAGCCTGCTGAGTAAGACTATTCACAGCATTAAAACTTTCATGATCATCTATTTACAGCATCTGGTAAATAGTAATAATCAAGGATTTAGCTTTGATGTGAATGTTTAATACTTTCCCTGCTTCTATTATTTCCTTGTCCCAGTCCCACAGTTATTTCAAAGCTTGGATCTTCTCAGGTATAACTGAGCCTGGCACATGCTGTTCAGAACTCTGTCCATTGTTAACTCAGGGCTAAATGACACGTGAGTAAGATCATCTACTTGGCATATATCAGAAATGAGTTAAGGCACGATTGGTGAAATTAGGGCTAGATAAACTCAATTTATGTGCATGCCTGCTACAGAGTACAACTCATTTTACTGTGAAAATGAGGCTGCCCTCATTACTTTCCTTGAGTAATTGTCCACACCAGTTGCAGTAACAGTGTGTGTTGCCACGAATAAACTCACTGGTTTGAATAGCAAAGTTTGTGGAGCCATGTTGCGGCAGCATTAGTAGGCTGGCTACCTGACTTGTGCCTATGATGTGACACAACCGTTTCTGGCTTCGTGTGTTTACTACTCTCTATTCTCCCATAGTTACTCGCTCCAGTTAATTTTGGTTTGAAGGGTCTGCAGAATAATAAAGCAGGACTTCTTGGCTCACACCTAAGTAAATGAGCTACTGGCACAGTTAGTTACCATGACTGGAAGATTATTTTTGTCTTGTGATAACCTGTGGTCCTGTGACCTATTCTCTATTCTACCTTGTTATAACCCTTTCACCAATTAGAACTGTGTAGTAATAGATCTGAGTGCAGACTCCAGAGCAAATGAGATAGTAGCTGAGGCTCTAGTTTCAGCCAGAACTGTTCAGATAATCTTTCTTATGTGTTTTATACAAGTACTCACAGAATACAGTCATTTTGGCAATGTCTTAAGAACCAGTTTACTGTTACATATTCATGGAGAACTGCTGTCTTTCTCCTGTCTAATGACCTTTGTACAGAACAAAACATAATCAGTGGGTATTAACAATTAATAAATCTTTTTGTATCAAGTTAAAAAGCATGCATATATTTGTGCATAAACATTTACAATGTCCTTATTTTATATGTCATCTTGTAGCAAGTTTTTAAATAAAAAGCCTTTCTTTCTAGCTGGTAGTCATCCAGAGCATTTTCCTGTGCTATTCATTGTAACTCTCTGAAATGGAATATTACGGATTTAGACTTGTGCATTTGCTTTTCAGTGTACAAACTTTTCTTGGGAAACTATTACAGGAGGAAATCAGAATGCTCACTGACATAAGAATTCAGTATTTCTCACTTCTGCATTTAGAGTTTAAAATTTGATCTGATTTTGTGATATCTTGCTAATTTAATTTATCCCCTTGTCTATACAGTCACCACTTGTCTTCAAAAGAAGACATGTAATACATCGAACTTCAACACATTTGCTTCACTGCTGAAGTAAATGCTCAGTCCTTCTAATGCTGTATAAAGGTTTTGATACATGAAATTTCTTTGACCAGTGTGTTTTTTAGAATGAAGTTATGTATGAGATACAGAAAAATTTGGTTGATTACTGTTTCCTCTTACTGGTCTGAACTAAAGGTCTGAAGAGAGGCCAACATTTTTTAGTGTTTTTCAAAACATTAACACGTTAATCTAGCTCTGGTGTTAGTAGCATTGCAAAGTACGATAAGGGAGTTGTTAAAAAAAAAAAAGAAAAATTGTCTTTAGTTCTATACTTTGGTGTTGGGTTTTTTTTTTGTCCTAGCTGTAGGTTTTAGAAAATATCAATTAATCTTGCATCATACATGCTACAGTAAGACTCTACCTATTTACTGCTGTTCCTATAAAACCGAAAGAAGTAAAAATGCCTTAATGTTCTTACTTGGTATTCTAACACTGTATCCTGCAGGAATAAAAACGGTTGCTTTTGCTGATTGAACCATTATGTCCTTTCTTAATCTCCTTTTGTAATTTTTGAAGTGTCTAGTTTTTATCATCCCTGAGATAAGAGGTTACTAAGAATACTTGATACTTGTAATTATGCAGAGCCTTTCACGTGAAGAAAACTAACATTAGACTTAGTTTAAATGCATCATCTTTCCCCATAACTTTAGGGATTTCAGCCTTGTTCATCTCGAGACATCTTGGCTTTTCACTTGTGATGCATTCCTGATAATCAGGTACTTGCTGTCTACTGCAACTGAAATGCAGCAGAGCCATTATTATAGAAATAACGGAGTATTTCCTACATGCGCATTTGTTCAAATCAAGCGTGGTGTAGATTGAACCTCCTTGGGGCTTCTGAGTGCTGTTGCAGTAAATGTTGCTGCTTGTCTGCAGTGGATGGGGAAATTGGATGATTCCAGTAAATGCCATCAAGGAATTCCTTCTGAGAGAAATGTCATTGATGTGATAAGGGAAATAACTAGGTGTGCTTTGATTAAAAACATAAGGCCATGAAGAACATGGCATTATATGTCTCCGCTCTACTGTAAAAAGCATGAGAGTCTTGTGACTGACTGAATATGGTAGCCACGTGGTGGTAGGTTCTATCCCCTTCTGTGAGTCTCCATAAAAACCACAACAGTTTTTGAATAAGCAAGGGAACAGTAACTTCACCCTTTATTAGAATAGCTCACTTGCAGTTTCAGAGATGGCATTTGAAAACTGTTTTGCTGAAATGCCAAATGTTGTTTTTCTACTCAGAAGCCACAAAGAAATCTACCTTTCAGAGATGAAAGAAAAAAACGTGTTAAAACAACATTTAGCTTGTTTTGAGCCAAGCAGATTGTCTTGTAGTTCAGGCTTCTAAACCAGGCCATAACACCAGTCGTGAAAATCTGTGTTTGGAAACTGTTTAGACATTGGGAGATTTTTTTTCCCCCATCTTTATAATACAAAAGGTTTTTCTGTGAACTAACTTCTACCTGAGCGTGTGTGAAAACAGTGTTCAGCTGTCTTCCAGCCTACCTTGTACAGGTGACTTAGCAAGTGTAGTTGACCAGCATTTATAAAGCATGCACATCTTTTTTCTCTGATCATGATTGAAGTGTTGAATTTAAGTTGAATTTTGCGTTTAAGTGGAGCATATAACAGAGTGGGAAGAAGAGAGATGCATCAAAAGTTCTTTAAGAACTGACATTATTAAAATATAAATAAATACAGAGTCTCATGCAAAAGTATTACAAGGCAAATTAACTATCAGGCCAATTCAGAGCATTCTGAGACTGCAGTGATTAATTTAAAAATATGCTTTCTCTTCAGGACAGTTGCACAGTCAACAGATACAGTCATGACAAGATGCATTTGACGTTGTATTTGCATATACTTTAGTAAGAAGCATTAACAGGTATTATACATGGGTGTTTATCCACAGAAAGGGAAAAAAGCAATCCAAGAACCTATGGGACTATAGGACAAGGACGTGAGAACCTGTAAAATTTTCAGTCTTGGAGAAACTCACAAAAAAATAAAACCTTATTTCCTTAAACTCCTGTTGCCATGAATGACTCCATTCATTTCAGCAAATTTTGATAGAACACAAAGGAATTGCAACATGTGCAAATAATAAAACTCCTAGTTCAACAATGTTAACTCTTCTCTCCCTAAACATTAGCATGTGTGATGGCATCAATTTGCATGTAGAGAAAGGGTGGGGTTAACCTATTGACTTTGGCTGTATGTAAGTTTATGTTGGCATGAAATATTCAGCAGAGGGGTAGGAGAGGTTTCAGTATCTTTTCCAAATGGCATCGCTGTTTTCTATCCTCCATTCCCACACCCTCCTGAGAAAAGTTTTATTTCTCTTTATTTTCCTTCATTAAGTGACTCATCTCCCAGTTCTGTCTTTCCATCTTCTTGTCCCTCCCAGTTTATTTTGGATTCTGGTATATGCCTTTCTTCTTCAGCTCTGTGGCTATCGATACTCTGCCGTGGTAGTGACAGTACCCAGTTCCAACAAAAATAACACTTAAGGAAGCTGGGGACACAGCTTCTGTAACTCACTTGAGCACGAATGACTTAGACTTGGCAGGAATAGCAGAATAGTTAATTGAACAACTTAGTGATAGAAGTAAAAAACAAAAAAGTATATATATTTTGGATTACTCAGATGCATGAAATATGTAAACAGTTCAGACAAGTGCCTTATGAAGAGGATGTAATGAGCCTATGAATGAATCAGATTAATTTTAACCAAGCAAAGTATTTCTATGAAAGGTCTTTTCCTGCTATTCTTTCTTGACTGCCCTTCTATATTGGATGTCTTCAGTTTCTTACTCTTTCTCTTCCTTCTGTTGCCAACCTGATAATTGTGAACTTGACAAGCTTTAAAAGAAACTCTTGTCTCTTAATTAAATAGACCTTATTTTCTTGTTAAAGAGAGAAAAATCCATGGCACATGTTTTTATGAAAAGAAATAAATCACAGGTAATAATGACAACAGTAATAGGACTTCTAAATCACAAAATAGCAGTGTCCACAATTTTATTACACCTGCAAATGTCAGTTAACCTTGGCAATGAAAGTGAATTACTTTTTTCAAAGCATAGACTACCTGATATGGCTCAACCCTAATTTTATTATTGGCAGCAGGTTGGGATGTTAAAATACATGGTTGGCATTAATTAAAATAAGGATGCTTAAGTCTTAATGACCATTCTGAACTGAGAACACTACACCATATGGTGGTATGGTAATTGTGACAAGATAGACACTAGTGAGATAATAAGACAAAATTTTTGGAGCTATTTCTTACCAGACCCCAATAGCAGATAGTAATGCTTGTAAAATATGTTGTGGTACTCCTTCGCAGTTGCACTGCAGATACTAACAGCTATGGTGTGGGTCCTTTTAACTAACCAGAAGCTCCTTTTCCTGTTTTCTTTATGGAGCCTTATACAAATTAGATTGCACAGGCAAGAAAAACAGCAGCATCTACTATGTTTGTAATTGCCCTATGAATTCTTCCCAAAATACAGTAAATTCTGGGGGGAAAAAAAGGTCAGTTAGTTGGACACAAAGATTTTTCTTTTTAAAGGAAAGTTTCTTGTTTCTTAAATTTTAGAAAACAATGTCTGATTGTCTGCATCTTGTGTATGTAGCACCTCTGCCTAATAATTGTTGATTGAAATTATTTTTCTTTCTTTCTTTTAGGATGGTCGTTTGCGAGTAAATGATCAGCTTGTTGCAGTAAATGGGGAGTCACTTCTGGGCAAGTCAAATCATGAGGCTATGGAAACATTGAGGCGCTCCATGTCCATGGAGGGGAACATTCGTGGGAGGATCCAGCTTGTAGTTCTCCGAAGACTAGAGGTGCAGATAGAGGTGAATCAGTAAATGCATTTATTAAGATAAATGTCTTTCCAGACCCAGTGTTTTTGCATACAGGAGATGATGTCTAAAGTCTTGGTCACAGAGAGCTCCTCCTGGCAGAATGAATTCTTGACTTCCTGGAGTCAGGATTCACACAGTGTTTCTGGTTGGTATCTTCTGGTCTTGCTGTTTTGGTTAAGACCAAGCTAAATGTTGCCTCTTAATTTAATTTGACAAGTATTAGAACAAAAGCAAATGTGGTCCCAAAAGGGTTAATTTGGGATTAATGTGTTGATGTAGTTTTGACTGTCTGCTACTTCCTCAAGGCAATAGCTGTGATAGAGACAGTTTTAATTCTTCTGATTTCATTTGTTGTCATGGTCAAAAACTTCAATATCTTAGCGTGCGTGTGCCCCCCCC